TAGTGATTGATCAACCCTGGGTCGTTCAAATCCTGTATAATCGAAAACGCTATATGTGTTAACAGAAAAAAATATAGGATGGCAGCCTTGTTTTGTGCGTTCGCGGCTAATTCTGATCTAATAAGCCATTAATTCGTCCATTTCAACTTAGGCGCTCAGCGAGGTATCATCGGAAATGCGATCACGAGTAACCAAAACTTCGATAATCATTACTTCATTACGATATTCGGGTAGAACTCGGTAATTGCATCTGTCATGTTCATTGCTGCATGATTGGTATCAATTGCTAATTCGTTACAGCACGCACCGTAACAGATACTCCGCGTTTCTCTGGTCATTTATTCATGAAAAGCGAATTTCGCGTGAAATGAGTATTGATCAGATAATTGTTTTGATATGTTACTTGATCTGTAAATTTCTAATCAAATGCATTTTTCTCGATCTCAACGGTTTCTATCGCGTAGAAATTTTTTTCCTGAAAAGTCAGAACGTAAACGCGGCTAACGATAGAAAAAAATAGGGGTGGCAGTCATGTTCGCGATTGCGATATTTCGGGACCATTTTATCTTGGTCCGTTCGTGATTCGTTTATTTCGTTTTAGGTGCTCGTCCGGTGAACATCAGAAATTGATCGTTACATCGATCACTACATCGATTAAAAAAGATAAATCATTATTTTATTTGAATAGAACTGTGATTATATTTATTCGTTAGGATAATTCGGCGATTCGGAACGTTACAGCCGTTGTAGAATTGTACCGATATTGTAATTGCTTCGCGTTTTTCATGTTATTTATTTGTAAAAAGATTTTTGAGTGAAAACGGATGTTAAACATGATTGTTTGATATGTTAGTTAATCCGTGAGTTTGAAATCAAAAGCGCGTATTTTTCGATCTCGCAGCGGCTTTTATTACGTCGAATTTTCTTTCCAGAAAAATTGCATTGAAAACATAGCTGTGACGATAGAAAAAAAATGTGGGGTGGCAGCCTTGTTCGCGTTCGCGGTAATTTGCAGCCATTTTACTTTGGTTTCATGATTCGCGCATTTCACATTAGGCGCTTGTCCAGTATTTCAACGATTCCGAGAAAAGCACGCATCGAGGAATCGCCGCATTGAGTAAAAAAAGGTAATCATTATTTCATTACGGTATTTGGATAAGACTATGCGATTATATTTGTTCGTTAAGATAATTCGGCGATTCAGTACGTTACAGCCGTTGTAGAATTTTATCGATACTGTAATTGTTTCGCGTTTTTCATGTTATTTATTTGTAAAAAGATTTTTGAGAGAAAACGAGTGTTAGACATGATTGTTTTGATATTTTAGTTGATCCGTGAGTTTGAAATCAAAAACGCGTATTTCTCGATCTCGCAGCGGCTTTTATTACGTCGAATTTTTTTTTCAGGAAAGTTGCATTGAAAATACAGCTATGTGACGATAGAAAAAAAATGTGGGGTGGCAGCCTTGTTCGCGTTCGCGGTAATTTGCAGCCATTTTACTTTGATTTCATGATTCGCGCATTTCACATTAGGCGCTTATGCAGCACTTCAACGATCTCGAGAAAAGCACGCATCGAGGAATCGCCGCATTGATTAAAAAAGGTAATTATTATTTCATTACGGTATTTGGATAAGACTATGCGATTATATTTGTTCGTTAAGATAATTCGGCGATTCAGTACGTTACAGCACGTTGTAGAATTGTACATCGTAATTGCTTCACGTTTTTTACATTATTTATTTATAAAAAGCGATTTCTGAGTGTAAACGAATGTTAAATGAATGATTGTTTTGATATATTAGTTAATCTGTGAGTTTATAATCAAGCGCGTTTTTTTCAATTTCACAACGGCTTTTATCGCGTCGAATTTCTTTTCCTAGAAAGCCGGATTGCAAACATTAATACGTGACAAAATACTTTATATATTCATTGTGTTACAGCGCGCCGCAGTATTGCAGTCGAACTCGAATAATTAGCAGCCTGGAGCAAAAAGCGAAGGCAGCGAAATGGAATAACATAGTGGAGATAGTGCAGATAGCGGAGATAGCGGAGATAGCGGAGACAGCGGAGACAGCGGAGACAGCTGATACATCGATCGGTGAGTAAATTTGTTTCTTACACTTATGTGAATATGTCGATATATTTGCGATATTGTTTATTGTAATATTGCAACAACCGTTTTCCATAATTATGAACATATTTATCAAAAAAATGTTTAAAGTTCACATACGTAAACTCCCAAAATTGAACAATTGTTTTCTTGTTTTTGTGAATAAAATAATTTACAAATATAATTATTACAAATTTTATTTAAAATTAAAATATAATTTTTTGTTTGTTTGTTTAAAATAAACTACTATTTTCAAGGTACTTGAAATAATCAAGATAAAATTGATATTAATTGATATTAAATTAACAAATAAAATTGATAAATAAAATAATTTTACAATATGTTAAATTTTATTTTTAATAGAATAATTAATTAAAAAATTAAATTATATGTTTTCTTATCTAGAACGTTGTACATATACAATTTTTTGAAGCAGTGTTCATAATTAATTTATGTTGCTTTATGAAAGTTGATGCAAAGAAAAGAAAGTTGATGTAAAGAAAAGAAAAATTGCGAAACTTTTTCTTATATGAAACGAGCACTTACTTGAGATCCAGTTCGTCTGGATGTCGTGCCTCAAAGTTGTACAGAACGACGTAGAGATTGTTCGGCGGCAGTACACGTTTGCCGGATGGATTCAGTTGGTTCTGATTGTTCGTGTGGGGTGACGGACACGGCGACGTGCTCGCCGAGGAATACGATTTTTCGTTTTCGTCCGGTAACTCCATACTTGACATCCGGATGGCACTCCTCACGTGTTTATGTATGCCATGACTCTGTCCCGGGCTACAGGGTGCTGTAAAGATATTCGCACGCGAGTTCGCGGCTCGTATATAAGGCAAAAAACAATTAGGTTGCTACATGTGAAATGGCCGTTTCATACCTTCGGACAATTTTATGGAAAATTAAATACATTTAAGCAAACTTATTCTAAATAAGGGAGGTATATTTTATACATATTTTATACATTTAAAGGAGAAAAAGGGTAAAGGAGAAAAAGGGGAGTTGCATATCAAACATTCGCACCTTCGTGTCTTGGATGTTGAATTCTGCATACTGAAATTTATCATTTTGTCATTATATTATGATCTTTTTTATATATTAGATTTATATTACGATTTATAAATTTATATTACTTATAACGCTGTATACTTTATAAATTTACAAATCATAAAATAAAAATTATATAATATTTCCAACATTTTAAATTTTATTAATTTTGTCATAGTTTGAAAATTTAAATCCAAGAATTAAAGTATAGTTTTGCAAAAGAATTAACATATATACAGTAATCGAGTATCAATAACTAACTATTTATAAGTAAACTTTTAAAAGATCTTAAATTAAAGACATTAAATGTACTTTTTTGAATAATTTAATTAGAAATATTTACACTAGAAAATGTTTCGGCCATTTTATATGCACCGACCTAATACTATGCTAATTTGTACATGAAATCGGTAGCTACTCACACAGCCTGTTTATACTGCCGCTGTCAGAATGTCGGGGTGGTGTTGTCTCTCTTGGTCCCGCAGCATAGTAATCTCGCGGACGATGTCGAACGTGCGCAGTGCCTTCCGGGGAGTCCAGGCTGAGGCTTTTCATTCGCAAGTTCAGTCGCTCACGTCTACGTTGTGGGCTATGTGGTGCTTGGTTTTTCATTTCAATTATCGGTTAGAAATATATTAGCCATAATAAGAAGGCTGCACTTCAACGCTGACGTCGAGCAGTTATATTTGAACAATTAAAGTTGATTAATAATAAATTTTTCTGATCAGAAAAATCTAAGTTATTCTTTTTTTTAAATTAAATCCAAAAGTAAAAGTTTTAGTGATTGAATAAAGTATGAATTTTTTGAAGTCAAAGACTTAAAATATTTGCGTTTGAAATAAAAAATATAAATATATTCATGAATCTAACGTTTATGATGTAAATCTATGATTTTAATTTTTAATTATAATTTTTTTAGTATTTTCTTTAATAGAATTTTGAGTACTTTTAGATATATTTAATGCATTAAAAGTATTGGAAGAGCAATGATTATGGGATTAATTAAATTTTATCAATTAGTTAAGCGATAGATAATCTCATTTACAACGCTGTAAATAAAATATATCTCATATATCTAACAAATGATAATCGGTCGTCAGCATCGAGTATGGAAGTACTGGTTGTACGAGTAAGCAAGGCTAATTGTTTAACATAATTACATAATGAAACAAAAAGCTCACAAGCAGCACAATTATAATGGGACACGACTCGCGCAAAAATATGGGAAATTTTGACATTGCGGAAAAAAATATTTTTATTTACAATATTTACATGCTTTTTTGTCGGAGAAAATTCGCAAATAATATTTTTAATGCATATGCATAATAAGACAACAATTCTCTAAATAATAAGCTACTTGGTCCGTATTACTCTAAACTGTATATTAGGTATTTCTAATCTTCTTCTTCCCCTATGCCTAATCACGTGTTTCGACAGCACGAAACTCTGTATTACACAGTAACAAATGATAAATAAAACGGGAGGGATAAAAGCGAGCATTTTTCGCAACAATTTTATGGCCTCGTCGAATAAAGGATTCGACGTTTCCAGGTTTATTGTTCATTAATAAAAATATTTATCTTCATCAAAAATATGTTGCTTGAATTTCATAATACGATTTATAAGAAACTATACGTTTGTTCACTAAGATTATTTTTCAACTTTGCTGTTTGGTTTGAAAAAAGAAATAAAAGGAAGAAAAATAGCGAGCGATCCAACAGTTGCATATTGGGGGAGGCTGAAATGAACGAAACACACAAATCCGGTTTGTTGTGATAATAAAAAGGCTCATGTATCGGAGATAAAATATCTCCGTTTGGTATGAGAATACCGTGAAAACGATAGTGACTGTGTTTTATCGGTTTGAATTGATAACAAAGCGTAAATTGTATTTCGCCAATTTTGTATTTACATACGTGCAGTGAACCACAAAGCGAGATTGTTTTCCTCCTCGCTCGACGAGTAAATCCGCTTTCACGATTTAATATTTGTGTTAACGGTGAGATATCTCTATCGTCACTTGTATTAGCTTATCATAACCTTTGGAAAAGTTCAGTTAAAAATAAGATTTTTTTCTTTTTTTATTTTTTCTGTTTTCTGTTTCTTAAATTACTTAAAATTTTTAGATTACTTTCGATAAAGAAAAGAAAGAGAAATTTAATTCAATTAGCTCTCTTGAAATTAATTGATAATAAATAATAAAAATTAATAGAAATACAATTCTCTCTATAAATATTCTACACTTTGATATTTTTCCGAATAAACAGATCTTTCGCTTTTTGTTAAATTTACATTTTGTACATTTTATATGTTTGAAACAGTATGTATTAAAGAACGTGCGTTCTCTATCGGGAATACTTTCTCGAGAAACAGCACTATCTCTGATAAACAATCCTAAATACAGTAGATCGTTGCAAACGATAACAATGTCGAATGCGAAGGGTAGTGGTAGATAAATAGGTGAATACATTCCGTGATGTTACAGGCAAGTCGATTTAAATAGAAAGCGTACATTTGCGTCCCTCTCTTCTCGCAATCCTACGTGATCCTATACAATCCCATACATTTCCTGAGTAATCCGGATATATACTCTTTCTGTGAGAATTTCCTCCTTTTCTTCATGCAGTTAGTTAACTTGGCGAAATAAATGTTTAATGATTGTAATGCATTCTCGTGTTTGATCGTTAATTCGTATGCTTTTCGATCGTCGTTCTTCTCTCATATAATATACAAGGACTTATGTGTGCAGTCGAGGATCGATACGCTCGACTGAAAATTGACGCCCACTTTTATTCGACGTTTGCGCATCCGTCTGATACTCGTTGTCTTCGTAGTCGTCCATTAGCGACTATTAATCACCGAGCGCGAAATATATCTCTCTTCGGACGTCCCGAAACAACTAGTCATATTAAATTACCGAATATGACGATATTATTCTATACAATGCGGACATTCAATCGATATTCTTTGATACCCAATATCCAGATTTTTTAATATTCATTAATTCTGTTATGTTTTATTTAAATAAAACGGTGAAACAAATTCTATTGTTCTTCTACTATGTATCAATATTTACTTTCTCGCAACATAATAATAAATAACACAACAATCGTTGAAATCGTTAAAAATTCTTGAAAAATTGGAACATTGCCGGGATGCATTTGAATGTCCAGTAGAGAGATCTAAGAATATCCATCAAATATTCCTATCGTATGGAATAAAAGGAAGAAAATCAGGAATAAGATGCGGAAAGGAATAAGAAAAATCGTAATCGAGCGGAAAGAAAAATGACGCAACCGACGACCGTCGCGGTCGTTCGCGGTCGAAAACGTATCTTTCGCGAAATCCACGAATATGCTTAGATTCCTCGTTCAGAATTTGTAACGTGATGTAACGTAGCGCAACGCGTCGTCATCGTTTTTTATTGGCGCCACGTTGAGCCAGATCCATCTCGGGTGTCCTTTGCGGAGTAGACGTTGATGGTGACGACGATTCCTGCGACATTAGCATCAGAGGCTGCCCAAAGGGTCGCGTGCCGGAAGTAGATCCGCCGCTGCCGCGTCCTGATCAATCAGATTTCACAACGATAGCGATCATGCGTTATTTCTATCTCTTCCGGTATCAGTCGTCTCTGATTCACTCTTCATTCGATCTCTTAGTTGATCTCAGTCTCAAGGTTGTTTAGAGATTACAGAAATCATCAAGCTCGCATAAATTTCGGTTAATAATTCTCATTAGGATAGCACAGGCTGGAAATCCATGACGTTATCGTCTTCGGGGTTAGTCGGCGATAATTCTTTTTTCGTTATTCGCTCCTTAGTTGTTTTTTCTTATTGCGATTATTTATTATTTTATATTTATTTAGGTAGAAATATTCTTATTATAATATTATAATTTCGCGTTGCAATAAATAGCATCAAGTATATTTTAAAGTTATATCTCTTTTATAATAACAAAATGTGATTAAAAGAGAAATAAAATCAGTAACTTATCAGTAAATTAATATATAAATCAATAAATAATCAAATAACGAAAGAAGGAAAAGGTCTTAAAACCAACGACTGTTATTATTGACTTAAAGATTATTATTATTGTTCATATATTGTTATTAATATTTACTTGTTATTATTACGATCAATATGTATTAATTAATTATTAATGGCAATTATTAATATCACCATCATCAACATCGTCAGTCGTCTCATCTATTATTATCATTATTATAAATATTCAGTCGGATATATGAGAGAAAGCTAATGAGGAATAATGGGGTAGAAGCTTAATAAATGTTCGTGATAAGCGCGAGATAAGAGTCCAGAGGGAGAGAAGCGATAAAATTTCTCTCGTCGTCAAGGAAAGACACTCACGACGACAAACTCATTGTCAACCTAAAAAAATCGGCCGATTCGATTTATTGATGAGATTGTCGATTGAGAAGGACTCGACAAGAGCTCCTTCAGAAAATCACGTTCGTGGAGATAGTAAAACGTACAGTCTTTTGTTCCTCAATAACGCGAGTAAATCAGATAAACCATTCATCCATTCAATAAATCTTTACGCTGATAGTGTATTTTTATGTTTAAAGTTATTATCAATGCAGCTTGTTATATTTTAAAAAGTTTAGAAATGTTTTTTAAAAGCGTATAAATGTGCGAAATATTTGTGTGCATAATTTATAAATCATTATATAGAAGTCGCTACGCAAATGATGAAGCTAGAAATCGAGTAGATTATTGGACAGGTGACAGATTTATCATCGTGGATGTGACAATTGCAGCAAACATAATGATACGATACTGTAGATAATCTTATCGATACGCACTAACAATAATACTGAATAATATCAATAATAATGCCGGTGACTTACGTCTAAATATCGATCGAATTAATCTTAATGATAAGTAGAAATGCGGAGTAGACAAAGAAAAAGAAATAGCAGGGAAGGAAAGAATTAAAAAAATAAGCGTAGAAAAAGAAGGAGAAGAAGAAGAAGAAGAAAAGAGTACATTAAAAAGTACGATAGATTACAAATTTACGAGTCATGTCCCTGAAGAAGACGAGCGACTTTTACATAAACACATAGTGATTTTGAGACCTTGGAATTGACAGTATTGGAGCATTGTGTGGACATAATTAACACGCACACACATACACGTGCTTAAAAAGAATAACACATAAATACAGTTACGTAGCAGCAATTTTATTAGTAGACGAGAAGATAGAAATATGAGGTAGAATTATTAGAAAAATGGAAATTTTGAGACTTTTTCTAACTTTTTCTTTTTGAAGAATATGAAAACTTATACAATAATTTATACAACTTTTATTTTTCTTACTGAGATGCACACAAAATTTAAAAAACATAAATATAACGACGCAATTAAATTAACGTTATATTCCTACCTTCTTTTCTTAGTACGGTAATGGCCTAGTTTACATCGATCGTTTGAGACGCGCATCAATTAGTATATTAGTGCTAAATTTGTACTAAATAACTTAAACTCGATATTTTATTCATACTAATCACTCGATTGGTACTCTATTGATACTATCGTTTGCATCATTTAGATTAAGCTGTTTAGTACGAATTTATCATTAATATACTAATTGATATGCGTATCGAATGATCGGTGTAAACGAGCACAATAGTAACTATGATACTTTTAAAAATATCAACTTCAAAATTATTCGTTATTTTTACACTTCGATAAGAGAGACAACTAAGTTTACAAAATAAAATAACAGTACAAAATAAATATAAAACTAATTGATTAAATATTGATACATCGAACGTAACTAGAAAAGACTAAGAATACACATTCAAGAAATACATTCGCTCCAATACTACGTCGTTATGCCCTATTTTTCAATATATTTTGGTTTTGCAATCGTATCGATTATTTAAAATTGAATTATGAATATTGAATCTTAAACTTTGCAAGTTTCTTCTTTAGTAGCAAATTAAGATAGAAATAGAGATAATTTCTTTAAGATGCTACAATGTTCTAAATCAAGAAATATTACATTAATATTATATAATGATAAAAAAACAATATTGTTAATGATCTAATAAAATTTTATAATTTTACAATGGCAATAAGGAAAGAATAGATTTGAATAATTCGGTGAAAAAATTGCAATTGATATTAAAGTCGAGCTTCTTCGTTTTGAAGCACAAGATGAGCCTTTTATATACACGCTCACATTGTCCGTTAGTATGTGAGAATTTCGGGGATACCGACGTGCGTTCCAAGGTCGATAGGAATTCTTGGTGGTGCGCCTTACCAGAGGTGGACGAGGAACAGGGATGGGAGGAGGCCCTCGCTGACGAAGGTGCTGCACCGGAAGAGGGATGTTCTGCTGTAGGAGGCGTAGGTGGTGAGTTTGTCGAGTTTCCACGGATCTCGCCTGCCTGCTTCAGCACCTGGTATATGGCGTCCACGTCTGCCCACACGGGATAAAGACACAACAATGCAAAAGCGCACCGACAGACCGCTGGTGGTTTTCGCGCGTTTCGATTAGTGCTCAATTCGCTCACATTAATCCGTCTTCTTCTTCTCTTTTTACTTTGCGCTGATAAATGATACGAGATGACGCTTCGCGCAATTGAATTGTAATGTTGAAGAGAATTGTTGAAGAGAAATGCTCCACGTGAGATAATGAATTGCCTAATTCTCTGAATGATTAAAAAGCTACAAAATGAAATCTGAAGCTCGTAAATGCTTTGATGTTTAACAGCGAAACTTCAAGAATCGTAAATAAATATCCGTTATTAAATTTTCGCGAAGAAAAGCTTGAGATTTATTACTAATATTATATTACTAATATTTGGAATACTGTCCTGTGTTTATCAAATGTGACTGTGTGTGTTAGAAACGAATTGTTTCCTACTTTTTCATTTTATGGCAGTTACACAATATCGTGAATGAATTGTAGAGTAGGAAAAAAAAAAGGCTTTTAAATTTAAAAATTAAAAACTTGCTAACATTCTCTGTCTCTCTCTCTCTCTCTCTCTCTCGTTTTACATTATTCCAAGAATTCTCGTGGATACGAGGAAACAGGTAATTCATTAATAATTCTCATTTTTTCTATTTTTACTCCCTTTCTTTCAAATTCACTCATTTGTTACACACGTTATGACAAAGGGAAATTGCGAAAAAATATCTGCGTTGTAACTTGGACTGGATTTCTGATGATTTTTAACAATTCGTTATGTATGAATAGAAACCTGACGGTCTCTCGTAAAACGAAAAAAAATATCTGCGGTCCAATCGGCGAGAGTTAACAAAGTTATCGAGAAATCGACCGGTTCTTTTCGGCCGGGTCGTTCACCGACAAAATGTCCTCGACAATGAGAGAGCTGTCGCGTCGCTGTTGGACGAAGGGGGAGAGGGCGAAAAGTGGATAGGAGAAAAGAAACGCGGCCGGGTCTCTTGTATCTGATTTGTACTCACTGTGCTCGGATGATGCCGGCACCTCGTCGGCTACTTGCGTCTTTTGTCGCCGTAGGAGCGGTATGCCGCCGCCTTTCTTCGGCGCTAAGCTCGGGCACACCGCCACCGTGTTGATGCAGTCTGTGTGCGCGTTTGCTTTACAGTTTCGACACCGGACACCCTGACGGCTGTGGCCACGTAGCACTTGGCCGCAAGCGTCACACGGAGTGATCTTGCGGTACGTGTACTCGCGCCAAGTGTGTCCGCCCTCGGATTCGAGGCTCTTCCTGTAAAATCAATTTCCCTTGTTCACGAGTATTGCAAAGTTCAGCGCTCAAGTACTCTTTTCAGATCGTGTTTATTAATATTTATCACGTGCTCTTGTAGGGAACCAACCAAAATCAGGTGCGTTATATTTTTTTCAAATCCGAAAGTTGAGAAAAAGTGACATTACAAAAATGTTGCAAAATATTCATATATAGTGCAGTCTTTTGTTTTTAATTAATGAAATTAATGAAACCGGAAGAAAATTGGGTCACATTCTGTGTCAACATAGATTTTAACGAGATTTGTTAGTCGTAATAAGAGCGTTACATATATGACAAATCAATAATTAATTTTTATTAATTATTATTAATTATGAAAAATATTAACAAGGAACATATTAAAAATATTCTACGAAGGGGAGTAAAAAAGTAAAGGGACCTTTTTAAAATGTTTGATTTTTTAAAATGTCCTTTTACTCTCTTTCTTAATAATTTTCATATTTCGTAACCAAACGCGATGTTAAACTTGTAAATGTTAACTAGGGTCGATGAACAATTGAGAGAAACTTACCTGGACATGGCGACGACGGTAGAAACTGCGTGGTACATGGTCGCCTGCTTTCCTCTTTATTAGTCGAGCATTCACAAAACAGTATCTACGGTTATTCAAAGTCCCTTTCGTCTAACGTCTATGGTTCCCCTAATTGGGAAACTTACAAAGCACACGGAAGTAAAAGCGTATATTAACTCAGTGGAAGTGACGAGAGTCGAACATCTCGTTCCGAAAATTGACTTTAGTAATATCGTTCCGCGTGCGAAAGTGTAGCAAGAAAAATTTCGCTTGTTCTAGACTGTTTGTTTCCACGAGATGACAATGAGTTCGTAAAGTTGTTTGTGAAATACAAACAAAAGCTTTCCTTGCGAAGCTTTCGCACTTAATTTAATTAACACATCAATATTAAATGAAAGGGCTACGATGACTACACATCTCTAAATCATCTTAGTTTTACTAGTTTTAATATTCTAGAAATTTGCGAGAAATCCTAATTATCTATTAAAATAACGAGAGAGAAAATGCCACAAATATTAAGTTCATCTATCTACAGTATCACGATAAAGCAATGTTTCATCTTTAAAAGAACGTTTGATTATTTTATTTCTTTATGCACACTGGTGGAATTTATAAAATAACTATTATTTAATATAGCAGTTATAAATATGAAGAAAAAAGTTAGGGCAATTTGTTGTTTTTTCAACATTTTGTTATGTAATTTGAACGATGATTGCATCGTACTTTTATTTCCTTTTGATATTTTCTCACTAATCTCAATTTGCGCATTCCACGAATGTGCACATACAGCTGTACTATTCTCTACTAAGTATGACACGGAATACAGTTCAGCGAGGAAAAAGACAATCAATGCCTGATTTACTCAGAAAGCAAAGTGATCCTCTTTCGTTTTCCCGAACTCTTGTCGAAGAAATACAATACAAGTTGAGAGCAAACATAGTTCCCGGTGTTGTACGATGTAGAAAACCAACTTCGTCGGGTCGGAAACTTCGGTATTTTTCGCGACATGCATGTGGAGGAAATTGATATTAGTGGAAAGGAAATAAATAGCTTACTTGTCGGATAGCGGTGGTGTTGTGGGTGAGCTGGTCTTCAGGCTTTTGAACGCCTTCAACCATTTGAGCTTGGGACTTCCGGTCGAGCCATTCGACATCTTCCGACTGGCCACACCATCCGGTTGACCGGCCTCTCCACCCCCAAACAATTCCTTCTGTAATTTGTAATTTATGGAAAATTTATATAATATCTTGCATAGAACAATTGACAATTCTGTCTAATTATATATAATATAATATATTTAGGTGATACGTGTATGATAGTTTTTCGTCACAAGAGTAAAATCGAAAATAGTTTACTGTTTTTGTGAAATATGGGAAACTCCAAGTTTTCTGTTTTGAAACATCTTATAATCATAAAATCTAAAATAGATTTTGAATAATTAAAGCTTCAGAAAATAAACGCGTTATATTTGAAAAAATTAAAAATACGAATATTAATAAAATTTTAACATTTATATAATTTTGTTCAATTGAATTTCAAAGAGATTTTATTTGGATACCTTATTATCGAAATTATTAATCGAAAATTAAAACATTGTAAAAGTCTTTCCACAAAATTTCCCGTAAAAAAATATGGATTCAATATTGATTAAGGAATCCGTATACGTAAAGGCGATTAGGATATCTGTATAAGTTTATGCGTCACTGAATAGTAGAAGAGTCCATTATCGTTGCATTAGCATCACTTGAAAACGATAATTGCCGTTATATGCTTCTTTACATTATATTATATATTCGCGTGTTTGCATATTGCTATGAATGACTAAGCAGCGAGTCTTACTGTAGACACGTGACTCACGATAAGTTCAGTATATCCACGTGGCATTACCAGTGACTCCTCCATTGTTGTTATATTGTGCCACCTTACGGATAATGATCGTCATAGATTAGCAAGATTACGTAAATTTTATTCTCGTACGAATTCAGCAATTTTGGTGAATATGTATTTTAGTAGACTTCCAATATTTTCGTAAATTTTTTGGTAGAGAAATAAAAATAATTATTAAATGAGGAATTCAGAGAGGAAAAATGAACCAAGTTCCTTTTTAAATTCATGTATAAATTAGAAAAAACTGAATAGCTTTCACTGAATGATTTAAAAGTGAGTGCAAAAATTCAAGTTAAAATTAAAAGAAACTATAATACCTATGAAAAACAATGTTGCACACAATTAGGAAAACTTTAGATTTAGAATTAATTTTCTAACAATTAACAAAAATAGACTAGATTCACTTATTCTCTGAATCCCTCAAATATAAGTCTTAATGTGAATAATAATTATTCTATTATCGGACGTGCTGAAATATGATTTGGAAACAAAAATGATTTTTTGAGCTCCTTTCAAACAGCAATAATACAGAATTGCGCATTCGCAATTCTGATATATTTCATTATCTGCAATTTAAAAATCGGTTGCAAGAGTTTTGTTTCTGTCGCATTATGCACTTAGCAACGCGTTACTCTGATAACGGATGCGTCGATACACCACCCTGGTTGAAATGTTTCCATGGAGACATCACTATGATTGGTCCATTTTCAACTGTAGAAATATGTATATTCATTGAGAATACATACGTGTCAACTTTCATTGATACCTGTGATCATTGAGAATGTACTCAGCCATTGTTTGCGGTCGCAACATTAGCCCTTTTGTGTTCGATATCACAATGAATAACTCCTTATCCCTTTAACGATACTTCGATCCGACTAAATATTATATAAACTAAACATTACGTGCTCGATTTATATTCTGTAATTTTTTTTACACTTAATAGTATGATTAAACAAAAATGTAAACTCATCCGGCTCAGAGCATTGCAGAGATAAGAATAACTAATCTATTATTGGCATAATTGATTTTAAAACACAAAATGATGCGACGATGCTCAGGACATTTTCTTAACAATCACAGGCACTGTAAAATTTTTCACTTTTCAACCAGGGCGACCTTGTTGGTGTACTCGTCGAGCGAGTCCACTGGATCATGCGGCACTTTCGGTCTTACGATCTAACGTGCAGAATAACGATTCACTGAAAAAAGAAAGTACTAACAACTCGCGTACGCAAAGTAGTCCAGCCCATCTTGTTTATAAATTAAACGCGACGACGATTCGGTACCGATGAACAGTAGTAAACGGCAGCGCGCGGTCAGACAGCGACGATCCTGCTCGCCTGACCTGAATAGACGGACTCTCTCTCAGCGGAGGCCAGGAATGGATTTTCAGACGCTCGTGCTCGCCGATGACCCAGTTGCAAGGGCGCATGTCGCGCGATTGCGCGCACAAGTTTATCCGGCGTTTAGGCTAAAGCGCATCAGTGAATGACCAATCGCCAGTGAATGACCACAGACGAGCCTACACTTGTGAACTTCCCGGAAATGAACCGTTTATATTTATAAACGTTGCACGCACCAAGAAATCGCGCTTTTAAGTTTGTTTGAAATCGAACGGACCGCGTTTACGAACTGTCTTTCGATATAGTAGTATCTTTATGCGCATATGTTGAAAAATATTTTGTTATCATTAAATTTTAGAATAGATTCATTCTCTTTCTCTCTCTCTAATATTTTTTTTTTCAAAATAAATTAATTCTCTTTTGATTGTGCAATTTAACTATTTTGATATAAAACTAATTTGTTTAAAAACGCATTACTAAAATTTAATATATTTTTTACGGAAAGGTAAATTTGGCTTACAAATATATTTTAACTGAAATTGTGCATTTATAAATTGATTTCGTTTTATGGACCCTGTAATTGCATAACGTAACGTCATTTTGCTAGCGTGAGGTCGTGCGAATTTTAATTATTATGTGATTAAAATAATTATTTAGTGAAGCTTGTGGTTGTTAATACTGACAGTTTATGTTATTTTTTATATTTTTTTAATTATTAATTTTAGATGAAAAATTTTCAAAGTTAACAGCATTCAAATTAAGTAACAATTAAGTAACAGTTCACTGATGCGTTCATCTTGCACACTGTCCATAGGCGAAACGTGGATCGAAGCCACTCGCGATTGGATAAATTGGATGAAATGGAGGGAATGCAAGGGATAGATAGATAGCTGATCAATTTTAGGCCGTGAATATAGTGGCATGGAATATAGAATGTCTATCCTAAAATGCAACCAGTGTTTCATTTCGCAATATATATCATATTTCACATACAACTGTGTTCTATTTTATTTATTATATTTTAGTAGATTTCTCTCACACACACATACACCAACACATCAAAAACTGTATTTGACAATGGCATTTTATGTTCCATAGTTCGCAGTAATAAATATTGGGAAAAAAAGATTTTTTATTCGCATTATAAAGCCAATAAACTATGAAATACGAGAATACGTAGACTTTTTGGGACGAATATTGGGACGAATAGAGCAATAAATGTAGGGTTCATTAGAGACGAATAAAATAATAAAATGTGGTGGACGCTAGGTAACAAAGTGGTTCTGACTAAAAAAAAAAACAAAGAAATAATGCATACCTTTGCTTGCACCGCGGCTAGATGCAGTTGCGCCACACCGAGGTCGAAACGCTTCAAAGAAATATCTTCCTGCAGCTCAGCTACTTTCGTGTAAAGATTACTCTCGGCGCTCCTGCAATGGGAAGTGATAAAATAACTACCTGTGTGGTTGCCTTTTAAAAGATTAAAAAAGTGATATATTTCCGTGTAAGTTACCGCATCCACTAGACAGGTGAAAAATATAACTAAAACTGTAACAATTGTTCAAAACTGAAAATTTTAATTAATTTTTTCAGGGACAATGATAAAAATATATTTATTTCGAAAATTATAAGAATTTTTCTAACAAAATAAAATTTATATTTACATTTTTAATAATATAAATTTAATAAAATAAAATTTACATTTTAAATTTTTTATACATTTGCTCAAATTTTTGTTATAATGCAAATTTAACAAAAATATTAAAAATGTAAGATAAAATATTAGTAGAAAATTATAATAATAAAATTTTTTATGCACAGTTAGAAAACTTGTTCCTGAAGAAATTAATAGAAAGAATATGAGTTCATACAAATGAACGAAATATGTGGTCACATTAAAAATATCTACGTACTTGCGTTGCATTCGCACCAGAGTGTCTAATGCATCTTGCAGCCGACCTATTTCCAGGGTGAGGCTGTCGTATTCGTGCTTAAGATCCTCCATGAGAGGGAGTGTGCTGGTGCCCGTAGGTACCAGTTCGTCTCTGAGCGTGGGTATTTGACTGATTCTCTCCATCGGTATCTGCTCGGGTGGTGCCGGCGCGACATACAGGCGTCGCGGCGGCTTCCGTGGCGTCGCGTTCGCGGACAGATTTCGCGCTAATGTCTTAAAGAAGATTAAAAATACTTCTTTAATATTAACATTATGTTTTATAAAAAATGACAAATATAAATCAAAATTATATAAAATAAATTGATCGCTAAAACTTTGAAACATATCATAAACACGTCTTCAATATATTTTTTTCATCGTTCTAAGACGTACAATGAAATACGTATTTCGAAAGCGTCGGCGAAGCGACGGTACATTATATAAGTTTGGAAAAATATTTGTGTCATATTACTGTCATCGTTCCTGCATTAATAATCGATATTTTATCTCTCTCGAAACGCGGAGACATAGGAGATGCGCGTTTAAGTGATAAATCGATGGTTCACGAGGGTCTGGCGCGATGGCGCGGTCTGGCCGACAGATTCGAGAACGGCAAATCAGTGAATACCAGCGCGTTTGGTCAGCCGAACAAGTTAACCCACCGCATACAAGCGACGCGGTCCTCGAGCAGCCAATATCCCCGAACGCGCGTGCTCCTGTTAGTGGATATGACCGATTTTAATCAGCCAACCTTGTTTTCATTCTGTCCCTCTGCCGAATGCCGACGATTGTAATCCGCCATCGGATACCACGCCATTGGATATCCGAAATTGGATATATGCCCGGTACGTCTATTTGCTATGCGTGATCAATATGTCGGGAATACGAATACGTAGTATCGTCGCGGGTGTCGCATCTATATGCGATCGATCGGTGCCGATTGACGTATCGAGCGCGAGATTGACGGTGATGCTTGCTGTCGCGCTGGCAACTGTTGAGAGATTTAACCTCGTGAAAGATATAAGAGAGCCGAAACAACCGCGTATTTTTCTCTCAACAGTCTGTTTCTGTGAAATTCTATAGACACCGCTTTAACTATTTGCGGTTCGAATTAATTTGGACGAATAAATCAATATTGAGTGTTTTATTTTTATTTTAATGCTATATCAAAGTAAGATAAAAGTAACAAATTAATTCTCATTATTCAGGAAATTTTACAAAAATTAGAAAACCATAATTTACTAATTGTAATTATGTATTGCTGCAATTATTTGAAGAAATTGTGCATAGGATGTCGTAAAGCACTGTGCCGAGTTCACTTTAAATTGCAATCAATTTTTCGTGTTATACCTTTCAATTCTTTTTAAAATGATTTTTTTTATTTCTCGCAAAGATATTTGAACGGAACAAAACGGAAAAAAAATACAAGCGGTTTTCGAAATTGATGTGGGTTCAAAGACTCTTATCGGAAAGCGGATTCAAATACCTGTAGATCGTTCGATGGTACAACCGCCTGTGCTTCCTTGGCTACGACCTGATAACGCTTGGTCTGCTCGCCGGCCCGCTCCCCGGCCGCCTCCGAAATCCCGGCGACGCATTTGCAGGTCAATCCGCAAAGTTCCTCGTAGACCTCCGCAATCTCGCCGAGCAGTCCCGGCAGACAATGGAACTGATATCGCTCGGTAATAGCGTTCGTGGCGCGTAGTTGCAAAATGTAGGCGTTGTGCGACTCCAAATAAGCGCGCTTCAATTCCTGTTCGGCGCCGCTACCGGCGTCGTTGGTTAGTAACGCGGCATAGGTGCGCTTGTAATCCAATCTGGCGCGTTGTAACTTCTCCTCCGTCTTGCTAACTACCTGCTCGTAAGCGTCGCGATGGGCAAATACCTGGGGAAATGCGAATGGATAAATTGTATAAAGCGGATTAGGAGACGCGCGTGAGTGCGATCTAAAAGCACATGCGGTCGAATTGAACGCCGTTCCCGTAATATCGAATAATTGAGTCCGCTTGTGCCGCTTGGGAAACTTTAGTGGTTTCGCTAAACTATAGCAAACTTGTCTCCTGGTAACCTGAACGATGAGAGCCTTATCACGAATGAACAGTCTTCGAATTGTCTGAAGTAGCAATTGCAATAGCAATATGAAATGGCAATACTGATGTCAATACCGTACTTTATATATATATTGCATACTAGAATTAATGAAAAAAAACAATCGATGAAGAGAAATAGCTATTTCAGATAAGACATTGAACGTGGAAAGATACGTTGTTTATTAAAATTGTTAGGAAATATCGTAAATTGTGCCGTAAATTTATTATCAAAGTTGTTAACGTATTTTACGTAAAAAAAAAATTCATTGATACATTTTTTGTCACATGCGTGAGAAAAGCTTACCTTCCTCGATTGTAGCTTACGATGGAAGCTCGCCTCTAAGGTGGGCCTCGACAGTTGTTGTTGCAGAACCGCGGCCAAGTCGAGGTGAGACGCCGCGTCCGCCTCGACTTGTCGCAGTAAATTCTCCCAAACGCGCCGCATGCCACCGACATCGATTCTTGAATCGCCCAATCGACTGCGAAACTCGTCGACCAGACGTCGCACGTTCGCCGAGTGGCTCTCCATCGCGGCGCCCAACTCCTGGGCGAATTCGGAGACTATTCGCAGAACATACAAGAGAAAGCATTAATCAGGTGGTTACGAACGATTTATTATACGCGAGTGGGTTCTCTTAGTCGGTACTCAATTGATAAATGTGGCGAATCGTGAGATTTAACTCCCCGTTGTAGGTAGATTTTACATTTGTAAGAAATTGGTAGTTAACACGCGAGTATTTGTGTGATCAGGTAAAAGAGATAAACTGCTTTTGATTCTTTGCGATTAACTTATTTTATATAAGAAAAATAACTTGTTATCGTAAAGAGTTCAATTAAAAACAGTTAAATTCATCATTATTATTACACAAATTCTTAAAGAAACAATACATATTTTTCGTGATTATTTTAAAAAGGGAAGCAATGAAAACTATGTTATATTTATAAAATTTATTTTCTCTAATGCTCGGATATCGCATAATAATTTCTATTCGAAATTTGTAACACATTAAATTACTGACAATTTGATATCTATCTCTCAACCATTTTCATTAGAAGTTTTATTTTCTGAAATCGCAAAGTCGAAAATGTTTCTCTTGAACAAAACGGTGGCCGGAAAATATAAATAGATATTAGCTGAACGAAAATTGGAATTTAGAATCGAGTCTTGTTTCGGTGACAGAAAGATCCGCCTGGGCAATCTGCCAATGGAATTCAGTAACGGCTAGTGCAACGGCGTTAGTGCAACGACGCGGTTGCAGCCCTTTACCGTCTATGTCGATTCGATTTGGTCGTCAAAGGCATCGTTGCACTCTCGATATATTGAACCGACGTTGCGAAGAGAAAGGCTCGTCGGCCGAAAGTAAATTGCGTCCTTTTCTCGATGGGAATCGGCTCTGGTAAACGTTATTTTGGACGTATCTCGAGTGGCATTTGGCCGTCGGAATTCAATATTCCCACCGTCTTATCCAATATCTCGAGCGCGAGCGAGGAACTTTGAAATATCCCTTATGGATATCCTCTCATGGATCGTTCGAATGGCCTCCAAGCAGTGAAGAACGGGACAGAGATCATCAAAGCGGTAGGGTCTTCTCGCAAGTCGTTATCGCTCTCGTCGTGATAGCGTGTCTCTTTGTGGGATCTGCGCTTCCCGGTGCGGCTTATTTCCTCGCTTCGATGAACCGCCTCTTTATCGGCATCGTCAGTGAAAGTCTCACGTTTTGAAGAGGGTAGCAAAATGTAATTTGTTGTAGAATCGCGTTGGACGAGGGGAGTAATAAGGAAGTTGCGAAACCGATAAAAAAGTTAATTTACGTTTCTTGATAAAAACTTTTTGTTTGATTACATATACTGTAAATATATGTATAATAAGCAATTCTTTTTTTAAATGGCAAAATAATGTGTGCAATTGCGAAATTAATATTGGTATTTTGTGCATTATATATTGTATTATATTAATTGTCTATTTATATATTCATAACATGTTAATTATTATCTATTCACGGTATTAATCGCGAAATCAATCTCTTTATTTAACGAAAATATTCAATTATTTGAAATCGAATTATTTGAAATTCGTATGGTTGTATATTAAATCAATTCATAACGTTATATTTAATTAACATTATTTAACTGAAAAATTTTTATAGTAAATTTTTTTACATAAAGAATGTTTTCACAGAAATATGTTTTATTTAAAAGAAGCAATAGTGCGTCAATTTGTGATTTTAACAATTGGCGAATTTGTTGGATTTTACTTTTGTTTGTGAAAAATATCATTTAAATGTTTTCGGGTACATAATATTTTTAAATATTTAAAAGTATATATTCAAAAAAGCTTTTTTAATATTAGTCATATTTTCTGGTGTATACGATTTTTGTATATTCGATGAGAGTTATTTAAGATGGTCGTTATGTGTACAGAATCTCGCATAGTTACGTCAGGAAATACCTTGGCGATGGGAGCGCATCATCACTCGCGATATATCTTTGTCTATTCACGTCACGATTATCTTGGCAAGGGGACGCAAATCTGTCGAGAAATATATTTTTTTTGCTACTAAGATAGGGAGTGACATGCGTGTCAAGATATAAGATATGTACTTATAGACAATATAACAAGAAATTTTTTTCACAACATAATGTATTATACGATAATTACTCAAAATAGTGATTTTAACAATTATAAGATTTGATAAAAAAAAATATTAACGGCAAAAATAACAAATTTCAAGATTATGAAATTTTTACTACTAAACACAATATTTTTGACCTTTTGCTAAATTTTAGTAGCAAATTGTAGCGGTAGAATAATATTAGGCGCGTATGGGAAAAAGGTTGTCCAATAATTCCCTCTGCGGTTTATATTTGATCGTCATGGCGACCAGGAGTTCAAAAATACGTAGGAATTTTTACGTCAGACTTCGATCAATGAAAATATGCAAGCAGAAAAAACATGTTCCATGAGCAAATACACATTCGGCCTAACAGAAACGGCACGAGAGCTACGACGTAATATAATAGTCGTGCAAATAATCGGTTTATCCATATTTCCGGCTCTCGAACATTAATTCAATATCTGGGCTGCAATTTCGCGACGAAAGTTTGTGATAAATTCATGATGAACGTGAAAGATGGAATCCATGTCAGGCCAGCGTGTGCGCGAATATCGTTTTTCTTCGTCAAATAATTCGAACAAACGGGGAGGGCTCTCTCGGCGGAGTGATATTATTTCTCGATGCGGGACAAGATAACCTGGGGATCCAATAAGGTAAGCAGAGAGCTCTAAAGTCTCCGAACTATGGTTCCGTCAGGGTTACCTACCTACCTACCTACCTAACCTACCTATCGTCAGGTAATCCGATCTTTTTCTGTGTATTTCCCATTTAAGCACCGAGTGCTTTTGTCATAGACGCTGTTATTAAAATGTTTTTCATTCGTCGATGGGGGGGAAAATCAATATGCTCGTTATTGGATGTCGAAGAATAAACAGAAATTTGTAAGATAAAGCGGCGGAACGGGGACTGCTCTTTTTCAAAATTAGATCAACAAAGTGATTCTTTTATGATAATATTTTGTTGCGCAAAAAGAGTTTGAAATTATTTTGTACATATAATTAATAGCATATGTAATTTAAATATGTAAGATAATATTATACATAAATACAAAAAATAAAAGTGAATAACTTTTAACATAAAATAATCGAAATTGATTATTCATCTGACGGTAATTCGAATAAATTAGCATCTAAATAACAGAAGATCATCGAAATATGCTATTTAAAAGGCTCCTAATCTCCTCCAAGCTTCTACTTTCAGTTAACATAAACTTTAATTTTATTTTAACAGAATCTCAACTAGTTAACAAGATGTTTCATGTTGGAACTTGAAAAGTTGCTAGAGAAGATGGCGTATAAATAAATTATGTTGAAGGGAAGGTCATATTGCGCAGCTTTCAAATAAAAACACATCATGCGCATTAAATCTGTCAATAAACGAGCACCCTCGTTTCGTGGCGTTATGTAAATATATATTTGCGTCATATTGCATCACGCGTATCTATGTCGTAGCGAGAACAAATCCGTTGGAATTATGATGAAACGGTCTATCGATCCTGTCGTCGAACGCCCGCCATCGATTTGATTGGCCGAGGGATCTTATGTGCGCGCAATATCGCCCTCATTAAGACATTTGCATTAGCTTAACATGTTCCCATTTCGGGAATTATTCCGGTTTAGGGAAAGCCGAGATCCCGCGATAATGTGCAATTTGTTCGCTGATCTCACGCATTAGCGGATCGCATTAGCGCCCTAGAGATCGCTTCACCGTTTAATCATCATTTACAGAAGCCTGCTTCCCGAAGAAACTTTGCGCGACACATAATGCGGGTGAACATTTTGAGCCCTAGCTGTGCTATACTTCGATATATTTATCGACCAACTTTGTTCGAAATTGACGTATGATGTGATTATACGGCATTAAAGTGCATAACAATATTATTGGTATAACTCTGAAAGCTTTTATCGTCCTTGAATTTAGTGAAATACTCTTCCAAAGCATAGCGATTACTTTAATATGTATGATATATTTGGAAGTAAATTGGTAACAAAAGAAACGATTATGCTAACTTTGGTTTAAGAAGTTCTGGCGATTTTTATTTAAGCGATGTAGCCTTGTTTTGGCAGATTGTAAGTGGTTTTAAAGTAAACAGTAACAGAAAATCCATAGCTATTATGTCGAGATATAACGAAAAGAATCAATGTCAATCATTCAACAATTTTGGATCATTTGCATAAGCTTCAAATTGGTGAAACGAAATTACTTTCCACTTAACTTAATATTTACATATATTATATATATCAATTCCGCGAGATGATTTCAATCATAATAACGGACGGATATATATAATTGTAATATGATTTAACTCCATACACGGATAAATTAAAGCCTCACGTTACTTTGGGCTTTTAATTAAACTATTAAACTATTAAACTCGATTAATAATGTGTCGCGTATGTTGGTGAACGTGTGGTCGCCGACGGATATGAGGGAAATTGAACCCCGTTCTTTTAATACGTTCCTTTCGTTTTACAGTGATCAAAGCTGTCGTTGGTTGAACTTGCAAAGCTATTTCTACTTTAACTCTTTTGTTTTCTCCGCGCTCCAAGTTTTTGGTATTACAGCTTCGCGTCGCGAAGCGTGGCGTGTAGTAAAATAATTTAGCGAAGAAAGAAAACGTTCTTCTATATGCGGAAATGAGATATTTTCTCTTCGCGTCGACTTCCAAGCTCGTCGACAAGTATCCGAGTTGGGCGCCACATTGTCTACTTTTTCTCAGAAATCGTGCCAGCGAATGATCGCGCTCGAAATCAGGGATGGGAAAAATTGTGTCTCTCTCACACACACATACCACATAACGTGCACGCGGTGCACATCAGCTGTGCTTTCTCGTCTGAAGAATTTCAGTTAATTGAAGTCACTGTAATAGCGGCCGCTCCATTATCGTCCACCGGGCCTATTTGTGAGTTCAGTGATGCGTATCACGTGAATAGGCTGCAAGATGAA